GAAAGAAGGAAAGAAGGAAGGAGAGAAAAAGAAGGAAAAGAATGAAGGGAAGGAAAGAAGGGAGAGAAAAAGGAGTAAGGGGAGGGAAGCAAAAGAAAGAGAAAGTCAGAGAAGGGAAAGGATGAAAGAAGGGTGAAGGAAAGGAGGGAAGAACAAGAAGACAAGGAAGGAAAGAAAGAAAGAAGGAAGGAAAGAAGGAAGGAGAGAAAAAGAAGGAAAAGAATGAAGGGAAGGAAAGAAGGGAGAGAAAAAGGAGTAAGGGGAGGGAAGCAAAAGAAAGAGAAAGTCAGAGAAGGGAAAGGATGAAAGAAGGGTGAAGGAAAGGAGGGAAGAACAAGAAGACAAGGAAGGAAAGAAGGAAGGAAGGAAGGAAGGAAGGAAGGAAAGAAAGAGGGAAGGAAAGGAAGGAAGGAAGAAAGAAAGAAAGAAAGAGGGGGCCAGGGGACAGTTTCATCTTGTCTCTTGTGCTATGCTAATAATAAATATAATATAATATATTGTGTGTATATAAATATATAATATTTATTATAATGTAATGCAATATGATACTAATAATACGATATTATAATTATATATTTATATTACATGTAATGTTACTAATAATATTACAATATAATGATACAGTACAATATACTAATATTTAAACGGATATTGTACTATGTTAATAATATAATAAATTGTATGTATATATACCTTGTACGCTGCTCTGAGTCCCCTTCGAGGTGAGAAGAGTGGCATAGAAATGTCGTAAATAAATAAATAAGAGGGGGAAGGTGTATGAGGGAAAGCAAGGGAAGAAGGAAAGAAAAGAAGAGAGGGAGGGAGATGTAGTATGAGAGAATTGGAGGAAGAAAAGGAAGAGCCATAAAGAGTGGTACCAGAATGTTGCTTTGGAGACATTGTGAGGCAGGTCTTCTCAGAGCTGGAGAAAGGAGGAAGCAGGCAGGCATGCTGGGCATATACTCAGAGACCCGGCTCCTGCCTCTTCATACAGCTTGGACTACAACCCCCATCATGCCCACCCACTGGGCAGTGTAGCATATGGGTTTTGGAAGCATCAGTAAAATTCCAACTGGCTCCCAAAAGATAAAGGTTTTTGTGGCTGAGATGTTCCCTGATGAGGAGGATGATGGGATTCAGATTCCTGGCTCTTTTTCTGTGCCTCAGATCTCTGGGCCTGCCTCTAGGTCTTTTTCTGAGGCTCCCACAGACAGTGGAGAGTCAACAACACAGTGGTTCTCAGAAGAAAAGAATTTTAACAAAGGAGATAGTGAACAGGTGGGGAGGCTTTTGCCTCCTTCCCACGCTGATACTGAAAGTACAGAAAGCCTTCATAGTGACCTGACCCGGCAGGCTCGTCTTGATCTGCGGGTCAGGCGGAGTTCTTGCCTGGCCGGCAGACGAGAAGCCAGCTCGGGCCAAGGTCATCGCAATGCTTTCATGTTGGTGAGAGCATAATGTTTTCATGTTAGAAAAGTATTTAGGCTTCTTGCAAACTAAGGGAAAGTGTCAGTTCAACGTAGCTTATTAGCCTGAAAGCTTCATGGAATAACCTTAGCCTGGAAAGCAGCACGCCTGGGATTTCTTGCATTGTGATTCTTGGGGCAATTGTTTTATTGCTTGTACATTGGACTCAGTTTTGAACTTTGCCTATAAGGCTGTGTCTCTTGTTTTTACCTGAAGATCTTTGGAACTATATTCTGCATTTAACCGAAATCTTGGGAACTTTGCTATGTTTATTCTTTATTTTGACTTGGATTTTTTCCTCAATAAACTATAAAACTACAGCTCTTGTGTGGTGGTGTTTGGAAACAAGGTGAAGCTTACTCTGAGTTGCAACAAAGGTTTTCCACTGGTATTAAGTCCAGTTGTGTCCGACTCTGGTGCTCATCTCCATTTCTAAGCCAAAGAGCCAGCGTTGTCCATAGACACCTCCAAGGTCATGTGGCAACTGACAGGACTGCATGGAGCACCGTTACTTTCCCGCTGGATCGGTACCTATTGATCTGCTCACATTTGCATGTTTTTGAACTGCTAGGTTGGCAGAAGAATTGCATGACAGTTCTTCATAATAAAGAATCCGCCATTGGTCTAGTTCTTTGAGGATTCTGCAAGGTATCAGGTTCAGCTGCATTAGGAGCAGCAATGGAGGCCACATTATTTTGTGCCAAAGGCTGGTCTGTCTCCATAATACTGTATTTTCCCATTGGAAACCAAAACCCATGAAGTAGAGGCGACAAAATAATACCTGTTTGGATGGGTGCTTCTGTTTTGTGGTGTGTGCTCTTTCGTTTGTTTTTGTCAGAAACATTAACAACTAGGTGTTTTTACTTACAAAAAATGTGAGTCAGGCCTGAAAGAGTTAAATGGATGCAATGACTCAGCAAAAGCTGCAGTTCTATATAAGCAGGTGTGTCTGCAGCTTAGTAGGCTTCTGTGTTAGTTTGCCTCAGTGGGAGAAAGACCTTTGTCTGTGAGAAGGCCTCACAGTGTGAGGCTTAGTCTGTGAGAACACGCGGATCAAGAATAGGGCTCCACAGCCACCTATGGACTCACCGTCAAGACACTACACTTAGAGAACCATCATCCTTGGGCTATAAGAAATTGCTTAAGAAAAAAAGAAGAGTTTGTGAGACAAGCCTCTGTGTGAAGTAGGCCTTAGTCTGTGAGAACATGCGGATCAAGAATAGGGCTCCACAGCCACCTATGGACCCACCATCAAGACACTACACTTGGAGAACCATCATCCTTGGGCTATAAGGGATTAATTAAGAAAGAAAAAAGAGTTTGCGAGACAAGCCTCTGTGTGAAGTAGGCCTTAGTCTGCGAGAACACGTGGATCAAGAAAGGCTCCACAGCTACCTACGGACCCACCGTCAAGACACTACACTTGGAGAACCATCATCCTTGGGCTATAAGGGATTACTTAAGAAGAAGAAAAGAGTTTGTGAGACAAGCCTCTGTGTGAAGTAGGCCTTAGTCTGTGAGAACATGCAGATCAAGAATAGGGCTCCACAGCCACCTACGGACCCACCGTCAAGACACTACACTTGGAGTGTCATCATCCTTGGGCTATAAGGGATTGCTTAAGAAAAATAAGAGTTTGTGAGACAAGCCTCTGTGTGAAGTAGGCCTTAAGTCTGTGAGAACATGCAGATCAAGAATAGGGCTCCACAGCTACCTATGGACCCACCGTCAAGACACTACACTTGGAGAACCATCATCCTTGGGCTATAAGGGATTGCTTAAGAAAAAAAGTTTGTGAGACAAGCCTCTGTGTGAGGTAGGCCTTAGCTTTGGTGAGAGAAGCTCCAGGTTGAAGTCCTTGGTGTAAAGCTATGTGAAGCTCCTGAGTAAGTTTGGTGTGAGAGGAGGCTCTGTGAGAGTGAAGCTGTTTATCCGCATGATAAAGAAGTCCAGCGTGGAAGCAAAGAAGGAAGTATAAAGAACTTTGTGTTATGGAAACCTTCTTGTTGTAAATCGTGCAACCATATTATTTTACTACAAATAAAGCCTCAAAAGGAAGAGATAACATTGGTCTTTGTGTTTGTTCTTTTTGTCACTTTGGGCTCCTGGTGCTGGGTCACGCTGCTGCTGCTGCTAAATCACTCTGCTGTACATTTATAAGGAGGGTCTTTTGCTAATAAGCCCACTCACCCAAGAGCTTTTACCTGCTCTCTATAATGCTGGTTGCCCTGGCTGGACTGGCCAATAGAAAAACCCAACATGGGTTGGTGGGACAAGGGTTGCCCAGCCTGCTCTAGAAATCTCCAAAATGGAGTATGAACTCTCCCAGATGTTGTAAAACCCATTCAGAGGTTGTTAAACAGGCCACATTCGGAGAGCAAGGAAGTAGGAACCCAACTTCATCAAACATTGAGGGTCTTACACCTTCTCCAGGAGCTAAAAGGACCTGGAGTAGAATGGCAAAGGGGAAGAGGAGAGGGAACGGAAGTCATCTGGCATGCTGGGTGTGGGATGCTGGGGAATGGGATTTCCCAAGCTTTGCTAGGCTCCAGTCTCCATAGATTGCAGAGGAGGGAGAATAAGGATTCACTCCTGCCTTGGTTTGGGAAGACTTCTCACAAACTAAGGCCTACCTCACACAGAGGCTTGTCTCACAGAGTAAGGTCTACCTCACACAGAGGCTTGTCTCACAAACTAAGGCCTATCTCACACAGAGGCTTGTCTCACAGATTAAGGCCTACCTCACACAGAGGCTTGTCTCACAAACTAAGGCCTACCTCACACAGAGGCTTGTCTCACAGATTAAGGCCTACCTCACACAGAGGCTTGTCTCACAGAATAAGGCCAACCTCACACAGAGTCTTGTCCCACAGACTAAAGCCTACCTCATACAGAGGTTTGTCTCATGGACTAAGGCCTACCTCACACAGAGGCCTGTCTCACAGACTAAGGCCTACCTCACACAGAGGCTTGTCTCACAAACTAATGCCTACCACACACAGAGGCTTGTCTCACAGACTAAGGTCTACCTCACACAGAGGCTTGTCTCACAGACTAAGGCGTACCTCACACAGAGGCTTGTCTCACAGACTAAGGCCTACCTCACACAGAGGCATGTCTCACAGTAAGGCCTACTTCACAAAAAGGCTTGTCTCACAGACTAAGGCCTATCTCACACAGAGGCATGTCTCACAGACTAAGGCCTATCTCACAGAGAGGCTTGTCTCACAGACTAAGGCCTACCTCACACAGAGGATTGTCTCACAGACTAAGGCCTATCTCACACAGAGGCTTGTCTCACAGACTAAGGCCTATCTCACACAGAGGCTTGTCTCACAGACTAAGGCCTACCTCACACAGAGGATTGTCTCACAGACTAAGGCCTACTTCACGCCGTGAGGCCTTCTCATAGACTGAGGCACACTGGGCTGAAAGGTAAACTGATTCCAACTCTCTTTCTGTTGCTAAAAGAAGAATGCACCCAATGCTTGTTGTTGCCGAAATAAAAAGAAGACACATGGAGTACTCGCAAGTCAAAGAGCTAAAATAGCCTACAGGTCAGTTTATAGTAGCCAGCAGACATTGTGGCGGCATGAAGTACACATACAAAAATAACTGTGCATTTATATGTATAATATATACAACACATATACATTATGTATATAGTTCTTCCACTCCTCGCCTCTTAAAAAAACAACAACAGCAACACACCACTCAAAAGGCCAACCCACTCTTTCACTTGCGCTCCGCTCTTCTGTCTGAAGAGCAACAGATTCGGTCCAGAGGAGGACTCTGAATGCCCAAAGCAAAGGCGGAAGAAACCCGGGTCTTCCCTCGACTGAAGACGCAGACCCCTGATATCCAGCTCAAGGGTCTCTTGGGGGATATTTTTGGCAGAGAGAAAGGGGGAAAAAAACCCTCACTGATGCCCCAAAAAACCTCCCTCCAGACCCCAAAACTTCTAGGAATGCCTCGAGGAAAAACGGTAGCATCAAACCGTGCTCCGTATAAAATAACACAAAAAGTGGAGGTATGTGTGTCGTTTAAATAGGAGAAGGAGATGCTACCTGGCCCTACCTGCGCTTGGGGTTTGTTGGGCTACCTGGCTGAGACAAGGAGGAGGATGGCACGGCTAACGGGAGCCGGAAGGAAATGGCATGTCAAGCAGGCAATCAATCCAAGGCTAAGGAAGGGAAATAAAGTTACAAAACACAAAGGTCAGTTGGCCAGAGTCGGGGCGAAGGAGGCGGCCCCCTCCCTCCCTCCGACCCCAGAGGCCCAGCTTCACAACCAAGGCCACCTTCTGGTTTCAGTCCGAAATGTTGCGACAAACACTTGCAAGATTTTTTTAAGTTATTCACATTGTGATAAACTTCATGTAAAAAACATTGGGGGGAAGGGAGGGGAAATGGTCAGAAATGTCATGTGCAAAACGGTCAAGTTGGCTGGTTGGGGTCTTGTGGGCAGCAAGACCCATTGTCCCCACTCTCTCTCCCTCTCATATGCATTCATGGCTTCTCCAACAACTCAGCCCTTTGGCAAAGCAAGAGGAAGACGGTCCCAGGCGGATTCACCTGGCGGCCTGGTCCGGTCCCTCTTCGTTGGCAGAACGAGGCCCTCTCTATCCCTTTGCAGAAGAGAAGAGACCGCTGGGCAGCGAACTGAGCTATTGGCAAAGATGGGAGGTGGGGTGTCTCGAGGTCATCCAATCCACCCTTTCGGCTTCGATTATGTAACAAGGGAAGAAGAGCGGGAGCGAGTTACGGAGCAGCCTGCCTCTCTTCACCGCTGCCACTCCTACCCTCCACCGCCACTCCTATCCTCCGCCGCTCCTCTCCTCCGCTGCCCCTCCTCTTCTCCGCCGCTGCCCCACTTCAGGAGGAGTCGTGGTCCATGCTGCAGCCGAGGGCCTCGATGTCATTGCTGATGTCCGAGATCATCCGGTCCCATTCGTCCCCCTCCGAGGGCACCGACTGGTCGTCCGAACTCCCCGCCGCCCCGTTGTTGTTGCCGTTGGTGGTGGAGGCCGAGGCAGAGCTCAGCGTCCGCCGGTACCGGCCGAAGCTGTCTGTGATGATGCCCCGGCCGTCCTTCACCCCAATGGTCTCCAGGAAGTTCTCAAAGTATTGGCTGTCCTTTTCGGGGATGAACGGTCTAAGGCCTGTTGGGGGAGGGACACAAAGAGGGAGGTGGGGAATTAATTATGTATTTACAGTATTTATATAGCGCTTTTCTCACCCCGAGGGGGACTGAAAGCGGTTTAATAATAATAATAATAATAATAATAATAATAATAATAATAAACCTTTATTTATACCCCGCTATCATCTCCCGAAGGACTCAGTGCGGCTTACAAGAGGCCGAGCCCAAATACATCAGTAAAAACAGCAACAACAGCAATACAGACAATACTCAGTTCTTGTGGGTTTTTTCGGGCTATATGGCCATGTTCTAGAGGCATTTCTCCTGACGTTTCGCCTGCATCTATGGCAAGCATCCTCAGAGGTGATCTCAGAAGCTTGCCATAGATGCAGGCGAAACGTCAGGAGAAATGCCTCTAGAACATGGCCATATAGCCCGAAAAAACCCACAAGAACAGTGATTCCGGCCATGAAAGCCTTCGACAATACATTAATACAGACAATAAATAAACTCATAAACAAAGCAATAAACAGTAACAATAGCACCACGACACATTAAAAACCTATGGCAGGGCCAAATGTAATAATTAAAAATTTAAAAAATGCTGGGCATGACAATGTGACATATAACAAGGATAGGTATTTGGAGAGAAATTCAATGCTGTACAACTACAATAGTAAAACCATCACCAAATGTCAAAACAATGATTAAAACCATAAAACAATCTCAACAGTCAAGTCGCCGTTCCAGTCCTTGTCTGTTGGGGTTCAGCCTGATCTGTGTGAACCTGAGCCCCAGCCCCAATCTCTGTGTGAACCTGATTCTCTGATTGTATTTCCAACTGAACATGTATCTCTCCCTGACAGTGTTGAAACTGTTGTTGATGTTGAGGTCAGTGGCGAGGAAAGTGAAACTGAACAGCCGGATGAAAATGTTTTGGAATCCAGCCGTGATAGCTCTCCACCTGGGTTTTTTTAATGAGCACCGAAGGGAACAGATAGCTAGAGACAGGAGTGATTCACAGTTTCTACGAAGGTCAAATAGATTACAGGAGAGAAAGGCCCAGGCTTCAAAGTCAAGGGGCGTTTCAAGGAATAGTTTCTTTGGTTTAAGGGGCCTCCTTCCGGATGTCTCGTTAGATCAAGCAACGTTTTGGACTGTGGCTGTGCCTTGGCAGAATTCCTGTGTTCCATGGCCGGTAATCCCAGAGGCTTCTAGTTTTCAAGTACATGGTTAGCGAGAGGCTAACAGGTTCCTGGTTCTTGTATTGTGGTTTTTGGAATTTTGCTCAAGTTCAGAGATTTTCCTGACTGCTGTGTTTCTATTGTGGCTTTTTGACTTTGCATTTACCTTTCTTTTGTAACCAATTTTTCATCAATAAAAAAGGATTGTTTCTCCTACAGTCCAGTGTGGTGGATTTAATCTTATGGTCTTGTTTCCTGATCTGGGATGCATGGGATGCATCATTGTCCTACTAAAAGCTGCATAGATCTATTGTCCGAAGACCTGGTCCCAGAACTAAAATTATATTTTTTTTCTCTAAAAGTCTGGAGTGAGGGAGCAGATCTTACCTCCTTTGGGAGTGTGTTCCATAGGCGAGGGGCCACAGCCGAGAAGGCCCTGCTCCTCGTCCCCGCCAGACGCATTTGCGCTATTGACGGGAGCGAGAGCAGGGCCTCCCCGGATGATCTTAAATTACGAGGTGGGATGTAGGGGCAGATGTGTTCGGACAAGTAAGCTGGGCCAGAACCATGTAGAGCAGTGGTTCTCAACCTGGGGTCCCCAGATGTTTTTGGCCTACAACTCCCAGAAATCCCAGCTGTTAGGATTTCTGGGAGTTGTAGGCCAAAAACATCTGGGGACCTCAGGTTGAGAACCACTGGTATAAAGCGTTATAGGTCAAAACCAGCACTTTGAATTGGGCTCGGAGGTGGACCGGGAAGACAAAGAAATGAAGGACAACACAACAGAACATCATGCTTCCTGCTAAATCGTGCATGGGCCAATTCTGGCCCTCCCTCCAGGTGCTTTGGACTTCAACTCTCACAATTCCTAACAGCCTCAGGTCTCATTCTTTCCCCCCTCAGCCACATACGCCACAAAGTACATACATCTGGCCACAAGGGGGAGCCAGGGGAACACAAAGCTTTCTGGGGGGGAATGCCAATTCAATCAATAGGAATATACTATTGATTGAATATAGTATACTGATATACTAATTTTGAATAGAGAAGCGCATTGAATCATACAGTTGAAAGAGATGCCAAAGAGTCATTCAATTATTCAGGAATACTTTTTGTGAATATTTTCATGATTATTTTTGGGAATTTATTTTTGCAAATAATTTTGAAAATAATTTTGTGAATTTTTTTGTGTATATATTTTATGTAAAAAAATTGTATATATTTTATGAGAATATTTTTGCCAATGTTTTGTGAATATTAATTATTTTGTCAATATTTTTATGATTATTTTCATAAATATTTTTGCCAAATAATTTTGTGAATAGATTATTTTGACTATTTTCATTATTTTTGTGAATATTTTTATGATTATTTTGGGAATATTTCTGTGAATATTTTTTGCAAACATTGTAATTATTCTTGTGCATATTTTCACAAATATTTTTGTGATTATTTTTGTGTACTTTCAAGAATATTTTTCTGAATAGTTTTGAGAACATTTTTGTGAATTTTTTTGTGTATATATTTCATGCAAAAAAATTGTATATATTTTATGAGAATATTTTTGCCAATTTTTATAATTATTTTTGTGAATATTTTTGCTGAATAATTTTGTGAAGAGATTATTTTGAATATTTTCATGATTTTTGTGACTATTTTATGATTATTTTTGTGAATATTATTGTGATTATTTTGGGAATATTTCTGTGAATATTTTTTGCAAACATTGTAATTAATCTTGTGCATATTTTCACGAATATTTTTGTGATTATTTTTGTGTACTTTCAAGAATATTTTTCTGAATAGTTTTGAGAACATTTTTGTGAATATTTTCATGATTATTTTTGGGCCCTCCCTCCCTCCTGGAGTTTTGGACTTCAACTCCCACAATTCCTAATACCAGGTAGGCTGCTAGGAATTATGGGAGTTGAAGTCCAAAACACCTGGAGGGAGGGAGGGCACAAGTTGGCCCATGCCTGGTATATAGGGTTCAAAGTTGGTGGCAGTCTGAGTCAAAGGCCTCACGGACCGATAGTTCCACTCAGTCTAAGGCACTTTTGTCTGTTTATTTATTTATTTTATTTATTTACAGCATTTATATTCCGCTCTTCTCACCCCGCAGGGGACTCAGGGCGGATTACAGTGTACACATATATGGCAAATATTCAATGCCAATTTTTGACATACAAACATATACAGACATACACAGAGGCTATTTAACTTTTTTTTCCTGGCTGCCAGGGGAGCTGTCGCTTTCCTCGTCCATCTGCGACACTGATGAAGCACTTCCGCATTCCCCGCATGCTTCCCCGCTGGAATGCTTTGCTGGAGTCTTCTTTATGGCCTCATAAATCAGTTAATTTAGTTTCCCCACTCTTTAAGGTGGCACCTTATTTTCCTACTTGACAGATGCAACTGTCTTTCGGGTTGCAAAGGTCAACAACAGGCTACACACAATTGGTTGGAAACCCACTCTAACCTGGGCTAGCTTTGAACTCATGACCTTTTTGGTCAGAGTGATCTTAATGCAGCTGACACTCAGCCAGCTGCGTCACAATCTGAGAAGGAAATGGTCTTGAAGGGCTGCCTCCCTCCCTCCCTCGTGGTTCTGCTTGTTCAACACCCCTTCCACCCACAAGTCCATCTCTGCTCCCCAGACACGGGGCAGCAGCACTCACCCAAGAGAAGGAATTTCCGGCTGTCCCCGTAGAGCTGCCGCAGGTTGACGCAGAACTCGTGCACAGACGCCCCGTTGCGATATTCGTGCAAAAGCATCGCAAACTGCTGGATCTCGTGAGAGGAGAGCTTTGTTCGTAACTAGGAGGAAGCAGAGACGGAAGTGAATCCCATCTGGATTGGGAGTGACTCCATCACCAAGAGGATAGTTCTGTATTCAAAAGGAAAACACAATGCCAATTTCTGTGCCCCCTCCCATGTTACGCAAAGCTGTATTTGATTAGTTTAACCATTTCTCAGTGTTTTAAGCAACTTTGATTGACTTGTAAGTTCAATTCTATGTTGATATTGTCAGAGATTGGCAATCCCCAACGGAAGGAATGCCAGATCAAGCAGACACTGAGTTGCAAAATAAGGACTCTGCAGCCTTTGAGTTACAAAAGAAACTAAGTTTACTAAGTACATACATCAGACACGTCTTTCTACAGCGAGCTACAATTCAGGAAGAACAAAGAACTAGTCAAAACCGAAAGCCTCTGCACATCTGCTTATCTTCTCTTGCTGAGACTGGCAACTCCCTTCTGTTCTCAGCAAGAACAAACCTTATCTTACTTTCTCAAGTTCACTTAATCACAGCCTCAAAGTATAAACATTTCTGCATGGCATTTTCAATTCACAGTGGCATCCATCTTTGCAATACATAGAAGCACATTGAAAAACACATACATAACTAAATTAATCCTGACAGATATTTCCATGTTGTGGATTTTTAAGGCATAAAATTATGAACACACATAAACATTCATTAAAAGACCGTTCCCCCAATATTCTTCCGTACAAAACAGCAACAGTTCCAATGGGCTCTGGAGAGACTGAGATAGGATTTCAAAAGGCACTAAAAGGCTCTCCCCATCCCTACCGTCATCATGTAGTCCTGGAGCAGCTCGGTGGCGGTGGTGCTCAGCTCACTTTCGCTGGCCGTCTTGTTGTTGGGAGAAGGCAAGGCCGAGAAGGAGGAAGGGGAGTTGCCACCCGTCTCCAAGGATTCGGGGAAAGAACTGCAATGGGAGGAAGAGAGGCCCAGAGGTCACACTGGCAGGACCAAGGATCAACCTGGAGGGCCAAAGTTTGCCCATGCCTGATACAGATATGAAACTATTTATTTACGACACCTGGAATACTGTGTCGAATTCTGGGCATCACAATTGAAGGGAGATATTGACAAGCTGGAATGTGTCCAGAGGAGGGCGACTAAAATGATCAAGAGTCTGGAGAACAAGCCCTATGAGGAGCGGGTTAAGGAGCTGGGCATGTTTAGCCTTCAGAAGAGAAGGCTGAGAGGAGACATGATGAGGACCATGTATAAATATGTGAGGGGAAGTCATAGGGAGGAGGGAGTGAATTTGTTTTCTGCTGCCCTGGAGACTAGGACGCAATGGAGCCATGGCTTCAAGCTACAGGAAAGGAAGGAGATTCCACCTGAACATAAGGAAGAACTTCCTAATTGGATTGAATACATTTGGAGGGCGTGTATTCCAGAGGGAAGAGCGTTGAGGGGTGCAATGGTGTCATATTGTGCACCTTCTCGCCAAAGGCGCAGCGGGAGAGCCGGGTTTTAAGGTTCTTTTTGAACGTTTCTAGAGAAGGGGCTTTCCTGATCTCTCCAGGTAATGAGTTCCAAAGTCTGGGAGCCACAGAGGAGAAGGCTCTCTCTCTTGTGCCTACAAGACGAGCAGAGAACCACCAGGAAGATACTCAGGAAGTCAACACAGGAGTCACAACAATCTGCTCCCATTTTTATCTTTTTTTCTTTTTTCTACTATTTTTTCCTCTCTACTATTTTTTTCTTTGTTTTTCTTTCCTTCTTTTTCTTTTCCTTTTTTTTTAAGCACTATTCTTTATCTGCACAAAATGGAAAAATTTTCTTAATAAAGATGATTTTTTTAAAAAAAAGACGAGCAGAGAACTATCCTCCCTAATTCCTTCATCAGGTACCTGACATTCAGTCTCAGGAGCTTCACTTTCCCCATCGTCAACCCTTGCTATGGGAAAGAACTGAACTCCTGCCCCCTGATCCTGGTCTTCCTCGTTAACACAGGCACATCCTTGCTTTGCATCTGAATCTGAATCTGATATCCCCATCAGAATCATTGACACCATCACTCTGTGATTCCAGCTGAGTCACAACTGCAAGAGAGGAGATTCCACCTGAACATGAGGAAGAACTTCCTGACTGTGAGAGCTGTTCAGCAGTGGAACTCTCTGCCCCAGAGTGTGGTGGAGGCTCCTTCTTTGGGGGCTTTTAAAGAGAGGCTGGATGGCCATCTGTCAGGGATGCTTTGAATGCAATTTTCCTGCTTCTTGGCAGAATGGGGTTGGACCAGATGGCCCATGAAGTCTCTTCCAACTCTAGGATTCTATGATGTTTATATCCTGCCCTTCTCACCCTGAAGGGGACTCAAGCTGGTATGGTCTATTCAATCCACTCTTCTGAATCAGGGCCCCAAGGAACCCCAGGAATGGGGCTGAAACCCAAGACACCAAGAGTGTTTTGTTGTCGTCGTCGTCGTCGGGCTACATAATCAAATCCCCAAAAGTAAAATCTGCAAATAGGGAGGGACGACTGTCCTGTGGATCAATTAATCAAGCGTGCAGAGACCAACACAACAATGTTCCCACCACCCACGTGTCTTTGGCCTACTCACAAAGTGCTTGCTTCCGTTTCATAGGAATCTTTAATGTCCACTTTTGTCGAAGAGTCATCTGCAAGGGAACGTGGGAGAGGAGAACGGTCACAGCTGGCTTCTTTGGAAGCATGGGAAGTTCAGACAGCTTTGGCCCTCCTCCAAGTGCTATGGACTTCAACTCCCACCATTCCCAACACCCTCAGGCCCTTTCCTTTTCCCACTCACCACTTGAGCAGTTCAGGTCAGCAGTTCAGCCGGCACAAAGGTTTAACTGAGGGTTCCTCAAACTGCGGTCCTCCAGCTGTTTGGGCCTCCCAGAAGCCCTGACGAGCTTGTTCAATTGTCAGGGATTCTGGGAGTTGAAGGGCCAAACAGCTGGATGCCCGCAGTTGGAGTTTCACCCAGACGGCTGTCTCATACTGAGGCCTACTTCACAATCAGGCCTACTAACATTGAGGCCTACGTCTCCTTGGGGGCGGCTCCTCTCACACTGGTTACACAGGAGCTTAACACAGTTGTTTTTTTCACACAGCGGCCTTTATACACTGGAGCTTCACCCACAAGGCTGTCTCATACTGAGGTCTACCTCATAATCAGGCCTACTAACAATGAGGCCTAGGTCTCCAATGAGGGCGGCTCCTCTCACACTGAAGTTACACAGGAGCTTAACACAGTTGCTTTTAACACACAGCGGCCTTTATACACTGGAGCTTCACCCACAAGGCTGTCTCATACTGAGGCCTACCTCATAATCATGCGTAATAACAATGAGGCCTATGTCTCCTCTCACACTGAAGTTACATAGGAGCTTAACAGTTGCTTTTAACACACAGCGACCATTATACACTGGAGCTTCACCCACAAGGCTGTCTCATAGTGAGGCCTACCTCACAATTAGGCCTACTACCAATGAGGCCTATTCTCCCACTGAGATGATCTCTCACACCAAGAGACTTTTCTCACACTGAGGTTTACCTCACACTCCTCAGGACGACACTAGCTTTGGCCCACTGACTAACAGGCTTTGGCCTACTAACTCTTTCAGTGCTTGACTCACAATTTGGAATCAAAAATACCCAGTTAATTTTTAATATTTCTGACACGAACCCCCAGAGAAGGCGAAAAGGGGTCTTTTTAGTCTGTCGTTCCCTGAATCCCCCAGCCAGCACAGAGAAAAGAAACCTTCCCCAAGCCCAGAAGGATTGCAAGGAATGTCAGGTAGGAAGGAACTGGCAAAGCTACCTTTTGAGTCTTCTTTGCCTAAGAAGACCTTATGACATCTATGGATAGCGTGTGATTTGGAAACATACACACAGAACTAGCCTTTGTAGTCCAAATAAAGCTTCCCAGCCTAGGATATTGTTTCTCTTCACTCAACAATCCCGTCCAAGAGCAGCATCTCTTACCACTGTGCAGAGACAGGTGCCGGGTTGGTGTGGAGGCCCCATCGAATATTGCTCTGTCGAGGAAGTCAATGGTGGACTCCGTGTAAACAATATGGAAGACTTGGCTGAGGAGGGAGCAGAGTTCCTCTGCGGAGGCCTAGAGATGGAGGGAGCAGGCGGAAGGAAGAGTCAAGGGCAGGGAGAGGGCTTCCTCAAGGTGCACGCTCCCCAGTCCCAACCAGTTAAGACACTGGCCTCTTCGTCTGGCAGACGGTAGAGGATAAATAAAGACAATAACAAATAGGCAGAGAGAGAGAGAGCTTTTATCCTAGAGCTGTGACTATACTGAACTCTGTGGATTCACACTGATGTGACATAAGGGGTTGTGCAACAGCGATTAGAATGCGGAAGAATGGGTGCTTTGTTTTGTAATTTGTACATATATGTGATTGAGGATTGCATCTGATTTTGTTGAACAACGTACAGTGACAATAAAGTTGTTCTATTCTATTCTATATTAGGAACTAGCTGTACCCGCCACGCATTGCTGTGGCCAACATTCCTTCCCTCTTTCTCTTCTTTCTTTTTCTCCTTCCTTCCCTCACTCTTTCCTTCCTTCCCTCCTTTTTTTCTTTCTTTCTCTAGTTCCTTCCCTCGCTCTTTCCTTCCTTCTCTTTTTCCTCTCCTTTCTTCCTTCTCTACTACTTTCCTTCCTTCTGTCTTTCCTTCCTTCCCTCCCTTTTTCTTTCCCTTTTTTCCTCTCCTTTCTTCCTTCTCTACCTCTTTCCTGCCTTCTGTCTTTCCTTCCTTCTTTCTCTCTTTCCTTCTCTCCCTCTTTCTTTCCTTCTTTTCTTCCTTCCTTCGCTCCCTCTTTCCATCCCTTATTTTCTTTCCTTCTCTCCTTTCTTCCTTCTCTACCTTTTTCTTTCCCCCTTTTTTCCTTCTCCTTTCTTCTTTCTCTACCTCTTTCCTTCCTTCCTTTTCTCTTTCCTTCTTTCTTTCCCTCCCTCTTTCTCTTCTTTCTTTCTCTCTTTCCTTCCTTCCCTTTTTTCTTTCTTTCTCTCCTTCCTTCTTTCTCTACCTCTTTCCTTCCTTCCCCTCCCTTTTTCTTTCCCCTTTTTTCTCTCCTTTCTTCCTTTTCTACCTCTTTCCTTCCTTCTTTCTCTCATTCCTTCTCTCGCTTTCTCTCCTTCTTTCCCTCTTTCCTTCGCTCCCTCTTTCCTTCCTTTCCTTCTCTCCTTCCTTCTCTACCTCTTTCCTTCCCCCTTTTTTCCTTCTCCTTCCTTCCTTCTCTACCTCTTTCCTTCCCCCTTTTTTCCTTCTCCTTCCTTCTTTCTCTACCTCTTTCCTTCCTTCCTTCTCTTTCCTTCCTTCTTTCTTTCCCTCCCTCTTTCTCTTATTTTTTTCTCCCCTTCCTTCCTTCCTTCCCTTTTTCTTTCCCTTTTTCTCTTTCTTGTCATTTAGTTTTTCATCATTTAGCTTTTTTTTTTGGGGGGGGGGGGGATAAGTCCTTTCCAGTGTTTTGGGGGAGATTTTATGAGTGATGGTCATTCATTGGTCTGTTAGGGGTGTAGTTTCCGCCAGGTAGCTCTGCCTAATATTGACCTATGGGCACATTTTCAGACCCAAAACACCCCAGTCAGCATGTGCTGGTGGGTAGATTCTAGGAACTGGTTGTTAAGATCTTCTGGAGGGGCCCTGCTCTCGGTCCCACCACCTTCGCAATCGTGTCTGGTGGGGACGAGGGACAGGGCCTTCTCGGTGATGGCCCCTCAGCTTTGGAACTCTCTCCTCTTCCCTCCTGACTTTCAGGAAGCTGGTAAAATCTTGGCTTTGGAACATAGCATTCTCTGAATGATGATCGAGTCAATAACTGTTGACCACACGGGTGAATGATGATGATGAATTTGTGACTACCTTGACGACTTTATGTAATTATTTGATCTGTATTTAATGTATTGTAATGTATTAATGTACTATGATGTTATTATGTTTTAGCTTATTTGTATACTAGCTGCCCCCTGCCACGCGTTGCTGTGGCCAAGCCTGGTGATCTGGAAAATAAAGTAATGAGAAAGTGTTGGTTTGTAATCTATGTAGTCTTTATGTGTGAGGGTAAACAGTATTTCTTGCTGTTTCTTTGTCAGTGTTGATGTGGAGAGTGTCTGGTTTGCCCACCCTGGGACACGCAACACATAATTGTCCTTCTTTAGGAGTCCCTTTCACATCTATGATAGTATATCTCTCTGTGTGTGAATCATATCTATCTATCTATCTATCTATCTATCTATCATCTATCTATCTCTATGACTGGACGGCTCTTTGTCAGGAGGACTTTGATTACGTTTTCTTTCCCTGATGAAGGGAGTTGGACTGGGTGGCCTTAAGTATTTTCTGATGGTCATGGGGTTCTGTGTGGGAAGTTTGCCCCGATTCTGTCATTGGTGGGGTTCAGAATGTTCTGACTGTAGGTGAACTATAAATCCCAGTGGCTACAACTCACAAATGTCAAGGTCTATTTCCCCCAAACTCCACCTGTGCTCATATTTGGGCATACTGAGTATTTGTGCCAAAGTTTGGTCCAGATCCATCATTGTTTGAGTCCACAGTGCTCTCTAGATGTAAGTGCACTACAACTCCAAAACTCAAGGTCAATGCCCACCAAACCCTTCTAGTGTTTTCTGTTGGTCAGGGGAATCCTGTGTGCCAAATTTGGTTCAATTCCATCATTGATGGAGTTCAGAATGCTCTTTGATTGTAGGTGAACTATAAATCCCAGCAACTACAACTCCCAAATGACAAAATCAATTTTTTGAGTGATGGTCACTCCTTGTGTAGTGAGACATTTTGTTGCCAAATTTGGTGTGATTTCATTCATTGGTTCTTTTGTTTTTAAGGTACTCATTATGCACAGAGCATTTTTACATATATAGATGAATTTCTTGTTCTTAGCCGGCCTGAGTCCCTCTTCGGAGGCCGAGAAGACCGGGTTATCAAAGCTCTAAATAAATAAATAAATAAATAACTGTGGCTGCGGGGGGGGGGGGGGGGGGGCAATATACGTTGCATGGCAAGATGCTTTGATGCAAACACATGAAGGCAGGCATGTTTGAAGGAAGCCCGACCGCCGAGGTAGGAGTGTCTCACCTTGCTCTCCGTGGCCAGGACCACCAGGCAGCAGGCCTCCACGGGGACCACCCCGCTCTCCGAGAGCGACCCGGTCGCCAGACCCTTGGCGCTTTCGGCACAAAGGCTCTGGCTGGGGGAAATCCCGGGGTCCTGAGCTGAGAGAAACCAGAGGCCGTGAGTGGAACCAGGAAGCAAGGCAGATGCTGCAGCACCCCACCTTTTCCCCAGTTGGGGAGGCAAGGGAGACCATGCAAGCTCAAACCAATGCAACTCAACACCAAAAGCAGCCACACATATTGCGCATTACAGTATGTACCATTTTCTGACAGTTTTGGGACCCCCTTGGACAACTTTAAACAGAGATACCTGTTTTCCCAACAGGAAATAACCAAGAAATTGCTTGGGCTTTTTTGTACGTGTGTTTTTGTTTTTGCAAGAACAAGAAACAAAATAAAAAATGCTTTCTAGAAGGTGTGGAGGGTGTTTTCGTCATGTATTTGGAAGAACTTGGGTCTAATGCAGGCATGGGGAAGCTTTGGCCCTCCGGATGTTTTGGACTCCAACTCCCACAATTCCTGGCCTCAGGCCCATTCCTTTTCCCCCTCAGCCGCTTAAGCAGCTAAGGGGGGAAAGGAGAGGGCCTGAGGCTGTGAGGAATGGTGGGAGTTGGAGTCCAAAACACCTGAAGGGCCAGTTTGCCCATGCCTGGTTTAATGGCATTTTAGAAAGGAAATACATACCCATATTTACTTAAGTCTAACGCACCATCGAATCTAATGCGCACCTCCATTTCCAAAACCCTGAACCCCAAAAAAGTATTTTCTGATTAATGCAATGAGCAGCAGCAAAAGGTGCACACTTTGTAATATGCCCAATACAGTTGCTTTCTGGGTTGTTGTAGGTTTTTCGGGCTATATGGGCATGTTCTAGAAGCATTCTCTCCTGACGTTTCGCCTGCATTTACGGCAAGCATCCTCAGAGGTTGTGAGGTCTGTTGGAAGTAGGAAAATGGGGCTTATAGTTGCTTTCTGCTTAGCGTTCCTTCTTTAAAAACAATTGTGTTGGGACACCAAAGCTTTCAGCAATGGAAAAGAAAATCTTGGGGTGCATCTATGCTGCAGAAGGAATCCACATTAACTGCCTTGGTTCAAAAGCTATGGATTAATGGGGGCTGGACTTCTGCAAGACCTTGAGCCTTCTCTGCCAAAGAGTGTGGATACCTCATCAAACTACAAATCCCAGGAGTATATAGCATTGAGCGCAGCTAGCTGGGAGTCAGCTGCATTAAGATCACTACTGACCGAAAGCTCATGAGTTCAAAGCCAGCCCAGGTCGGAGCGAGCTTCCGACCAATTTGTGTGGTTTGCTGTCGACCTTTGCAGCCCAAAAGACAGTTGTATCTGTCAAATAGGAAATTTAGGTACTGCTTATGTGAGGAGGCAATAAAAATCTCCAGCAAGCATACAAAGAATGAGGAAGAATTTCATCAGTGTCACAAATGGACGGTGAAGCGACAGCTCCCCTGGTGGCCAGAATAGCCTCATTAAATAGCTGGAATGTTAAAGAGCCTCTGTGTGTCTGTCTATATATGTTGTGTGTCTATGGCATTGAATGTTTGCCATGTATATGTGCATTGTAATCCACTCTGAGTCGCCTGCGGGGTGAGAAGGGCGGAATATCAATATTGCAAACAAACAAACAAACAAATAAATAATGATAATTAAATTACAGATGACGTCCCTCAAATAGAAGCTCCAGGTGCATCTCCTGAAGCATCTTCCCCTTTTGACTCAGCACTAAGATTACCCTATTAGCGAATGTAATGCACATCTCTATCTATCTATCTATCTATCTATCTATCTATCTATCTATCTATCCCTGTTTTGGAGTTCAGCCTGCGATTGTGTCTAATGATCAGGATACTCTGGATGTTGGGAGTGACAATGAGGTTCATGTATCTAATGATGTTTCTAATGACGAGGTTGCTCTAGATTTTTTTTTAAGATGCAGAGAATGACAATGGGATCCCTGTTCAAAGTGACTTTTCTGATGAGAATGTTCCTGAAGGATTTGAGGATGATGGTATGGTCTCTGGAAAAAGCCTGAATTGCTACCAAAGAATTCCCAAGGCTTTGAGCCTGAGAAAAGCTTGACACCTGGCCCAGCTGCAGAAAGTAGTGAGCCAGTAGATAGGAAAAATACTTTCAGTCAGTACAGACAAACAAACTGATTTCTCAGGTGCTCTGCTAGACTGAGAGAGAGACTGATAACAGAGTCAAGGCTGAAACGAAATCCGTTCCTGGCCGCTTAGGATATAGAGTAGATTAGGGGATAAAAGTGCTAAGTACAGAATCTGTAGCCAGACGAAGCAACATTGCAATTGAGTCAAGACTTCTTCCCAGGTCTCTGGTAACCTTGCCTTGGATAGATTCATGTGCTAAGTGCTTTGTTTGATTCACGATTCAAGCTTTGGGGTTTTACCTTGGAAGTTTCAGTATTTGTTTTTCATGAACTCTGATGGACAAATTTCCTGGACTATTTGTTTCTACTTATCTTTCTACCKAATTGGATTTACCTATTTTTATGGATTGCTTTTTACTGCTACTGCTTTTAAAATATCTTCAATAAACTGCTTGCATTTCTACTCAGCTGTATGGTGTTTAAAGTCAGAGGGTTTTCCTGGCCTGGAGCATGAGGTCTTCTGCCTGCACTCTTCCCACCCCTCTACCCCCATTTCTCCAACTCTTTMGGAGAAGCCACCCACTCCTGCTGGTCCGGGCCTACCTGTTTTCAAGACCACCAAGTGCAGRGAGTCGTCCCGGATGTAGGAGACCGAGGCGATGTCGTGGATGGGGACCCTGAGGATGATGTCTTCACCGTCGCGCCACACCAGCTTCACGTTGTAAGCAGAGAGGCTGATCACGGCATCGTGCTCCTGGGTCAGCTGCCCTGGAAGCTGATGCGCCCGCTGGGGGGGGGGGTCCCAAAAAAGAGTAAGGGGGTTATTTGGGGGATGAAGAGGAGGAGGAGGAGAAGTCATAAACAGTCATAACTTCTCCAGAGGCAGAATAAGCTTTTTTTTCTGAGACAGGTAAAATTAGAAATCTGGGGAAGATTAAATTGTCTTTGTAGAGCAGGCATGGGAAACTCGAGTCCTCCAGGTGTTCTGGACTTCAACTCCCAGCATTCCAGCTGTAAGGAATGGTGGGAATTGAAGTCCAAAACACCTGAAGGGCTGAAGTTTGCCCACTGTATGAAATCCTATACTACCTCACCACCACACCACCCACTCCCCCTCCTGTTCCTGACCCATCCTTCCCCCCCACGCTAGGATCGCGCAGTGTGTATGTAGTTRTAGGAATAAATAATGACTTTTTTTATGGATTTTATTTCAGGGATCTATACTGTAACAACAAATGTGATGATGACGATGTATGTATGGATGTATGTAATTATGAAAACCCCTTAATAAAAAAAAGAGAGAGAGAAAAAAAAAGAAATCCTATACTATCTGATACACAGTTAGGTCAGAACCCTTGGACGCATGGAAATAATGTTGTTGTTGTTGTAATATATATGAGGGTGGGTCCAAAAGTAATGCCCCCATTACTCTAACTTTTATTTTCCTCTGAAAGACAACCTACATCAGTGGTTCTGAACCTGGGGTCCCCAGATGTTTTTGGCCTTCAACTCCCAAAAATCCTAACAGCTGGTAAATTGGCTGGGATTTCTGGGAGTTGTAGGCCAAAACACCTGGGGACCCACACGTTGAGAACCACTGACCTACATGGTTTCAGATTCAACGACTTGAATGATGTGAAAACAGCTTTAAAATCATGGGTCACGAAGCAAAACCCTGAATTTTTCCAAAATGGTTTTAATGCCTGGGTTAAACAATGGCGAAAATGTGTAAAAACTGATGGTGACAATGTTGAACTGTAGTTTTGTGTAGAGGACACTTCAGGCTATGATCAGGAGCAAATTCTGCTATCATATGTTCATTCTTGACGTTTTTATGAAACAGGAGGCAAAACTTTTTGACCCATCTCGTGTACACACACACATATATGACACGTTTATCTCTCAACTTAGAGATAATATGGTTCACAGCATTAAAAAGACAATTTAAAATCCACCACATACAAATATTAAAATAGAATATCAAACTGTTAAAACAGAATTAAACATGCATAAATTTAAATAACTTAAGACACTTGAAAATGTTAAAATAACAATATTTCATGTCATTTTGGGACAGAAACCTCCAGAAACCCCAGCCACCACCCATGTTTGAGAGTTATATTTACCCTGCTAAAAATAACTTTTCCAAGCCTCTCCCTATCCCTACTGAGAATTTTTGGTGGGAAACATGATGGATAAAGAGCACAAAGAAGGGATACCTCTATATCATTTTGAATCCAGCTATTACCAGTGATATCTGCAATGGTCAGGTTCTCCTTTGGAAGAGGCATTATTTTATTTTCATTGAACATTATTTTCTAAACACAAACATGGATTTGCTCAGACTCCAAGATTATCTTTCACAGGCATGGGCACACTTTCTAATTTGGAGGCCACACGATAGCCCTCACTGCTAAGAGAAAGAGGGAAGGAGGGAAAGACGAAAGAGAAGGAAGGAAGGAAGGATAGGAAAGGATAGGATGGAAGGGAGGGAAGGTAAGGGTAAAGGAAAAAGAGAAGGAAAGAAAGCCAAAAGGGAAGGAAGGAAGGATGGATGGATGAAGGGAAGGATGGAAGGAGAAAGAGGGAGGGAAGGAATAATGAAAGATAAAAGGAAAGACAAAACGGAGGGAAGGATGGAAGGACAAAAGGGGGAATGAGAATGGAGGGAGGGAGGAAACAGAGAAGGAAGGAAAGACAGGAAGGAAGGAAGGAAGGAAAAGGAAAGGAAAGGAAGGAAGAGGGAGAAAGGAAAGGAAAGAAGGATGAAAGGGTGGAAGGGAAGGAGAAAGAGGGAGGGAAGGAGGAAGGAAAGAGAGAAGGAAGGAAGAATAGGATGGTGAGAGAAAAGAGGTCCTGAGAAAAGAGCCCAAGGAGCCACATCTGGCCTCCGGGCCAGAGTTTGCCCCTTCCTGATCTATCAGGTGGTTTCCCTATTCCAGAACTCCAAGCCTAATTTGGAATAACTTAAATTCAGAGAGCTGTCACACACCTTTGCATTGTCTATTAAATGCAGGACTTCAGTTCGGCTGGAGGGATTCAGGTACCCTGGAACAGATGTCAACTGGCCTAAATACTGGAGAGAAATGGAAATGAACATTACACATTATGAGTACGCATTAAAGCAAAGAGCATTGCAATCTTCAAAGTGGGAAACTTTATTACATCACGGGGAATGTCTCTTTCTTTTGGACTATGTGGATGCTGTTTTGGAAAGAAACATTTGGCACCAGAAGCAGAAATGATACGGAAAAAAGAAATAGGGATTTCGGAATAAGGAGTACTGAAGCTGTCATAGCGTATTGATGTGTGGACCAAAGGGGATCTTTTAAAGATGCTTCAAACAGTTAAAGAACAAGAAATCTATCAGAAAGAAAAATGACATCGATCCAAGCCAGAACTGTGAAGGTGCCAGGTAGATGTATTAACCATTTCTTTTCACTGTTTACATCAGGCATGGGTAAACTTGGGCCTTCCAGGTGTTTTGGACTTCAACTCCCACCATTCCTAACAGACTCAGGCCCCTTCCTTTTCCCCCTCAGCCGCCTAGACTGTTAGGAATTGTGGGAGTTGAAGTCCAAGTTGGCCCATGCCTGCACCCAGACTCCCCCCATCTGTTGCATCCCAGACCAGGGATTTTTGTACTCAATCACCACACCAGTTCAGTAAAATCAGCAAGCAGTTTATTGACGGATATATGTAAGCAAAGCAATAAAAATGGTAAAAACAGTATGGTCCAAAACAATAGAGAATAGATAGTCCACGAATTTCAAGGTACAAAAGTTAAAACACAAGATCCAAAGATGCAAAATCCAGAAAAAGAAAGCATGGAGATTCAATATATAGAACGGGAACCTGGCAAATCCTGAAACATGAAACTAGAAATCCACTTGGAAATAAGACATTAATGAAACTCCAATGTTGCCCAGACTGATCTAAAATCCTTTCCCCATCTATCTATATAAATAAAAATGTAATGTTCGTTTGTGGGATTAACATAACTCAGAAACCACTGAACGAATTGACACGAAATTTTGACACAATACACCTAACAGTCCAACAAGTGTTCATCACTCCTAAAAATAAAAAAACCCCAAAACCCAGCAGAAAGGACTTAAAAACCCCAAAAATACACCATATACACACACACACATTCATATACACACATACATAAACATACTTACATATATACACAAGCACACACAAATATATATACACACACACCTACATACACACACATATATACATATATACATGCACACATATATAAACACAAATATGCATATAGACAAGCACACACATATACACAATATACATATACACATATAAACACACAAATATTTACACACATATATACACATCTACACAAACACATGTGCACACACATATATACACCCACACCCACACACACACATATATACACAGATACACAAATATATACACACATATAAACACATATATACACACACACAAAACACATATATACAGACTGGGCCACAGCAACATGTAGCAGGGGACGGCTAGTCTCATATAAAGCTTTTCCTGTCTCATGAAACGAAAGGAAAACATTCTGTCTACTTTTACAACCAGATAAAGACTTCTTTCCCCTCTTTTCTAATAAATGGACTGACCTTCGGCGAGCTTGGGAACGTTATCTTAGTATACAAAAGTCTTGCCTTCTATCTTCTATCTCATTAACGTCTGCACCTGACAATTCATCCTCAGAAGATAGTTCCCCAGAGAAAGGCTGCTGTGGGCCCCTTTCAGGAATGTGACCTTCTGAATCTACAGGAGAAGCACTCCATTCGTTTTCAAGCAGAGAAACTTTGGGCCTTTCAGTAAGACCAGAACCAGGCCTTTGCACAAGGCCAGGACTTGAAAGCTCAGGACCAGGAAAACCATCATCCCCATTGACATCAGACACAACCACAGGCTGAACTACAACACTATCCCTATTTGCTCCCTATATAACAAGTGTGGATGCTCCTTCACTTCCCACAGGTTTACCTTCACTTCCTTTTCGATGTAGTCATTCAGGAGGATGTCGGGCTCCACCCGGTCCGGCAGGGAGAGCGGTACAGTATGGAGGGGCCTCCGTTCGGTCACCTTTTCCTGGGCCTTCTTATCTCGTCCCTTTTCGCCCTTCAGGAAGACACGCTTGAAAGGGGACACGATTCCAGGCTGCGGGAAAGAAGAAAGTGGAGTTACTACAGGGTCCTTTATGGCTACCTTATTTTAAGCTCCCGCAGTATGACCTCGGCTGCTCCAAAGCAAAGGACTGTGAAACACAAATAAAACACAATGTGCTTTTCAAAGAAAGGGGGCATTTGTCCAACAGAGCACTGTGTCCCCACCTGAAATGAGGTTAATAACCATTGTATTAATTGCAGCCGCTTCGTCTGTGTTCTTTCTCTTTTTGGAAACACTCATTCTCCTTGTTCCTATAAATTTCCCCAAATGAATTGCTGGACCTTTGCCAGACGCAGGAGACCTATTCACTAAGAGTGCATCTGAAGTATAGAATCAAATAATTTTGACACTACTTTAATTGCCTCAATGTTATGGAATCAAGGGAGCTGTAGATTGGCACTCTTTGTCAGAGAAGGCTAAAGAGCTTGCAAAACTACAGCTCCCAGGATTCCATAAAATGTGGTTTCAAATCACATTAATTTCAAAGGGCAGATTCACCCCCAGAAGAATACAGACTGCAGGCTACTTTCCTTGAACCTCAACCCCACAAGCCCCAAACTGTAGGGATCCTGCATTTCTTGCAGACAACATCACCATAAATTGTGGGACATCCCCATGGGCTAGCGACTATTTCTCTGGAATCCAAGGAAAGCAAAGGCTAGTTACCATATATACCTGAGTATAAGCCGACGAAATATAAGCCGAGACACCTAATTTTAGCACAAAACACGGGGAGAACATATTGACTAGAGCATAAGCCAAGTGTGGGAAATGCTGCAGCTACTGGTAAATTTCAAAATAAAAATAGATACAAAAAAAATTACATTTAAGCATCGGTAGGTTAAATGTTTTTGGATATTTACACAAAACCATAATTTAAGATAAGACTGTCCAACTCTAATTAAACCATTATTCCAACGAATGAGCTTACATCTCCTTCCAATAGTAATAAAGAGAGCAAAATAATAAACATAATAATAATAGAGTAAAATAAATGTAATAATAACAATAATAGAGTAACATAATAAATGTAATAACAAAAATAGGATCTGGGGGTGGTGACGGCCGACAGGGAGCTCTGGCATGGGCTGGTCCATGAGGTCACGAAGAGTCGGAAACGACTGAACGAATGAACAATAACAAACAAAAATAGAGTAAAATAAGAAATGTAATCAAATAATAATATTAGAGTAAAATAATGTAAATAGGAGCCCCAGTGGTGCAACGAATTAAACTGCTGAGCTGCTGAACTTAATGACTAAAAGATCAGAGGTTCAAATCTGGGGAGCTAAGTTAGCTCCTGCTGTTAGCCCCAGCTTCTGCCAACCTAGCACTTCCAAAACATGCAAATGTTATTATTATTATTATTATTATTATTATTAAACTTTATTTATACCCCGCTACCATCTCCCCAAGGGACTTGGTGCAGCTTACATGAGGCCGAGCCCACAATACATCAATACAAGCAATAACAACAACAGTAAAACAATTAAATAAAACGCAATATACAATAACAATAATACAACACACAATTAAAATCTATGGCTGGGCCAAATGTAATTAAGACATGAATAAGGTAGGAGAGATGGGGCGTTAGTGGGAGCGTACAACAATCCTAAATCAATGTAATAGATCGATAAGTACCACTCCAGAGGGAAGGTAACAGCGTTCCATGCAGTCATGCCAGCCACATGACCTTGGAGGTGTCTATGAACAACGACAGCTCTTCAGTTTAGAAATGTAAATGAGCATTACCACCCCCAGAGTTGGACACGACTAGACTTAATGTCAAGGGGAAAACCTTTACCTGAATGTAATTGCATTAATAACAATAATAGAGTAAAATAATAAATGTAAAAATAAAAATATAGTAAAATAATGAATTTAATAATAACAAATAGAGTGAAATAATAAATGTAATAATATTAATAATAAATAGAGTAAAATAATGAATGTAATAAAAATATAATAAGAGTAAAATAATGTAAATGTAATAATAGAGTAAAATAATAAATGTAACAACAACAACATAAAATAATAAATAACCTTGACTTGAGTATAAGCTGAGAGGGGCTTTTTCAGCCTAAAAAAAGAGCTGAAAAACTCGGCTAATACTTGAGTATATACAGTATGTGGCTGTGAAAAGAATACAAAGATCCCTGTTCTAGCTCCCGGTCTTTCCAGTTTATGGTGCTTTGCATTCTCCAAACACCAGGCACTTCTTGTCCTTCCAACTTATCCAAAGAACTCCTACGAATTGCAGAAATAGACAAGCTTTCTGAACAGCCATTGACACAATCCGTAGCCAGGAGAAGCTTTGCAAATCAACACCAGCGCTTTGAACGGCATCCAAAGAAAGGGCCAGCGGACGATCCAACTGGCAAAGCTCAAGCACCGTGAGAGCAGAATGGCAATTCCGTTCCATCATAACAGTTTGAAAACATATTGAGATACAACAAAAGGGGAAAAACCCATACACCATAAGAAGACTGAATGTGAGAGCCAAAGAAATGGCCAAAGAAAATGCTGGGATATAAATTCAATAAATAAAATAAATAGTACGACACATGAACACCCTTAGCTAGGCCAAGATAAGGAACCAGGCATCTCTTTACAATTCCTCCAAAGGGAAGGAGATCTTGAGTTGGAAGAGATGCTGCTCCAGGAATGGAAGGCCTTGCCCAGCTCCTACCTCATTGTCCATGGAGTGCCCAAGGCTTCTTTGGGGTGTGGATGTCATTACAAAGGATGGCCCCAGCTCCACTGAGATCTGCAGTTCTCCCCTGGACACACGCTACTGATCTAGGGTGAGTTGCTGAAGGGCGGCTGCCATTTGCAAGGGCTGAGGCAGGCGTGGTGGTGTTTGCACTCTTGAGAAAGAGTGAGAACAGGATGCAGGAGACCACAACTTCCTCCTGCCCAGCAAGAGAGAACCCTTAAGCAAGAACGCAGTGACAAAAAAGAACCAGGAAGTCCCCGAAGGAGACAGTCCGCTCCCTTGACACAAGGCCCTCAAGGCACCAAGGTGGCTTTGGCAAGGAGCAACACAACTCCAAGTGTGTTTTGGATGCATCTGCCCTTGTTGTGGAGGAAGGGAAGAGAAGACGTCGTGGCCCAGAAGCAGAAGAAAGGTCCTCCCTCCCTTTGTCCCAACTGGCACTGTCCTAGCCCTAAAGAGAGAGGAGGGAAGACAGACACCGCTCCATCATGCCTGGACCCAAAAGCAGCTGAAAGACCAACTCTCCAACTGCCACTGCCTTGCCTTGGAGGGAGAGAAGAATGTTTACGCATAACTCCATCATACCTAGCCAGAAGGAAGGTCCTCCCTTTGTCCCAACTGCCACTGTCCTGTTTTTAGTACTGTTTGCTGCTTTGAGTCTCTGTTAAGCAAGAAAAATGGCTTATAAATAACGACGACAACAACAACAACAGTCCCAGAAGCAAATGAAAGGACTTTCCTCCATCATAACTGCCGCTGCCCTGGTCTCAAAGAGAGAAAAGGAAGACTCAGCTCCTTATTTAATTACTTAGGCAATCCCTCGATGTCCGAGTAGGATGGTCTTCCAAGGTCAGCATTCTGGTGGGTCCGTAGGTGACTGTGGAGCCCTATTCCTAATTTGGTGCTATGTGTAAACTGTGTGAGTGCGCATACTATTTCCCCATCTCCATATGAAGGAAGATTTAGCAGAGCCTCCAAAGTAACGGAGTTTTTTGAGGCCGGCTCTCGTCCAGTTCTTATGCAACCCTCTCCGGAGATCCAACATTCCAGGAGTCGTCTTCCAGAGATTCCCGGCTGCCACATAAGCACCGTGCTATCCTTGCAAACAGAGGAGGCCTGTGAAATAATTTCTGAGGGTGGGGTACAAGCAAACACACGGAGGAGGCCTTTTGGGTTTCAGCAGCCAAGGAGGTGATAAATCTGACCAGTCTAGAAAGTGCAAAGACGGGAGACAAGTCAGAGGTGCCACTGCAAAGGAGAGGGGTGTGGATTGTAAACACCTTCTGGGGCATAAGGTAGAAATGCTCAATGTTTCTATTTGTCCAGCCTCACAATCTGGAACATCTGGCACATCCCTCCTTATTCCCCACAGCAGTGCAAGAGGGCACCCAAATATCTGAAAACTTCCCAAAACGGCACGGAGAAATGATAAACATCCCTTCCTGGCATGATTTCAACACTACTGCTACTGCTACTGCTACTACAACAACAACTACTACTACTACTACTACTACTACTACTACTACTAATAATAATAATACTTTATTTATATTCCGCCCTATCTCCCCAGAGGGACGTAGGGCAGATTCCAAATATAAAAGGCAAACATTCCAATGCCTGAACACAACAACAATACATCCACAGTAACAAAATTTAACAACCCAACATATAAACATAAATTATAACTTAACAACTAAAATTAATTAAAAAACCCAGCCTGTTATATCAGAAAAAAAACATCAAAAATTGAACAGAAGCATCAATTTCCCAGTTCCTTGGGGGCAAATAGATTGATCATTGCTTAAGATATCTATTGATCTAGTGAGGCGAGCAGGCACGGATACGGATATCTCTTAATCAGAGATATGATGGTGGTATTCCCAATTACTCCTCCTCCTCCTCCTCCTCCTCCTCCTTGTAAGCCAGTGAGTAAAAGTTTCATCTTCAGCTGTTTCTTGAAGGCGGGGAAGGAGGGAGTCATCTTTAACTTCTTAGGAAGGGAGTTCCAGAGGTGGGGAGCAGCCACAGAAAAGGCCCTTCCTCTCATTCCCACCAGCTGTGCTTGGGACGGGGTGGAACCGAGAAGAGGTCCTCTTCCGATGACCGCAGTGTCCAGGTTGGTCTACAGTGGGAGAGTCTGTGTGAAGGGTGGTGGTCATGTAGCAGAGATATATGCAATTCAGCCGTCCATTTCATAGAATCATAGAGTTGGAAGAGGCTTCATGGGCCATCCAGTCCAACCCCATTCTGCCAAGAAGCAGGAATATTGCCT